TCAAATGACGTAATTCAAAAGATTGAAGAGACACTGAACAATACCCTCATCACAACACGATAGCGAACCAACACTGTTGTTTCCACGACAGCCAATAAATTATAAGGGCGATAAAACATACGCCAGCAAAACAACGTAAAACAGATTCAGGCCAACTTCGGGAAAATTCTTTGCTGACAGTGAATATAAATGTGTTTTAAGTATTATCTAGATAAACGAAAACAAAGTTCGAGTTAGCGGGGAATTCGAGTTATCCGAGAAAGAATAATCTAGGTTCTACTGTAGTTCTGTACTCATATTTGATACCCTACGCCGTTTACTCGTAGTCCAACCAGCTGCCAAACAAATGCTAAACGGATTAAACGTTTAAAGACGGAAGTGATCATGAAAAGGCTGAATTAAAATAGCGCCAGATTCTTCTCTATCACATTCACAGTATCAGGTAACGGGACCACGTATCTGATCTTCCGTTTATTCAAATTCACATGAAAATATGACTGCTCAAAAGCAACGCTTTCCCTCTTTTGCCTCTACCATCTCTGCATTAGGTATTATATTGTACTGCGTTGGGTTTTTAAGAGTCGAGTTGGAGCTGAACAATCAGAGGGAGAGATTGCAGGCGCTTGAAAACATCGCCGAGACAGAACCGCCATCCGGCGATCCAAACATCGCCAAGTTTATCAAGGTTGCTCGTGGTATGTACTTTTTTCAATGTAAAAATTTCATGCGGTTGTGAAATCGTTCTCCATTCCGAATCAAGAACATTTCAGGATACCCAGAAGGTCTAGATAGCAGCAACAATATAGATAGCCGCAAAAACATAACAACTTAAGTTACCAGACATGTTTCGACGGAGCATCCGTCATCCTCAGTGTTACGGTGACTGTTACGTATTTGAGATCGCCGTTGAGTTTAAATCGCGCGCGATGTTACAAAGTTCGTTACATTGCGTTGTTAATATTGCGTTCTGAAAAGTTTAAGTTAGTGACGCTTAGCTACTTACAAGGAGAGAGTCAGGTTAATGTGTCAGATGTGTTTCACCTTCTGGTTGAGCTAGGGTTTCTCCCATTTTATGAACATGGATGAGTCGAAGCTTTACAAATAATACTTAGTGGTACTTAGTAAATGCAGAGTCCAGGATCTCGAAGCAATCCGGTGTGCAGGATGTTCGAAAAGACTCTGAACTCTGCAGATGTCTAAAAACGTTCAAAAACCTGTCAGAAAGTAAGTGCTCGCACACTCATGTGGAGAAATGTCGGTTGTTTTTGCCGACATAACAAGCCGTATTACAACTTGCACCCCTCGAAAATTTATAAACCACACGCATGCGAAGCCCCTCAAGGACAGCATCTTTCACATCGAAAAGATTCATGATTTTGAAAGTAGTAAAGACTAGCCTCCCTTGACAGCTGTCTGAATATATTTAGAAATATATTTGTTGAAAATATTCTCAGAAAAGAGATTCCTACGCAGAATAACAAACAAGTTTTGATGGAACCCCATCCAAGTATTGTTCATCTTAACGGTTCTATCAATCAAGGTTTTGATTAACCCCAATTTGTATGTAAAGGGGGAAGACTCAGATAATTTGTGAGCAAACCTGTGAAAGGTTTTTCCTGTTAACGGTAGTCAAACTTAGTTGTGGGTCGGTGTTGCTGATTAGAACATCTAGGAAAGGTAGAACATGGTCAGTTTCCAGCTAGATTGTAAAGTGCTCATTAGGGTGTTGATTGTTGATGAAATTGAAGGTAAGGGTTGTATCCTGTTCAGTGTGGAAAAGGCAAAATGTGTCGTCTACATAGCGACGATAATATAATACCTCTGAGTCCCCATATTGTTCCCACCATATATTCTCATGGTGACCCATAAAGTGATTGGGGAGAACAGGGGCGAGATGGGAGCCCAAGGCTTCACCATCCCCCTGATCGTAGAAAGAAACCTTGAACAGGAAGTGATTTTCTTTGGCAGCAAACTCAAAAAGCCTTTTTAGCTCAATATTATTAAGTTTCAGCCCCGGATTACCCTCAGTTATACTAGTACATGAGAAATTTCTGCAATTTGATTGGCTTAGAGCAGTGGTATTTCAGCTTAATTTGAAATACCTGCATGTGAAAATTACAAACCTTTTGAGGGTAGTAGTATAAACAAATAATAGCATGATTTGTACGTGATATTTGGCATAAATACCACTCGTGATGTTTCAAAATTGTCTGCAAATTTCTCTAATTACGTATAACAATTTTGAAATATCACTCGAGGTATTTATGCTAAATATCACTACAAATCATGCTATTACCTATACTAATATATTTGACGGCGAGGTTAAGACATTCTTCTAGAGGTATATTTGTGAATAAGCTCTCAACATCGAAGGAGACCACAAACTTCCCATGCAGAGATAGATCACTGATTTCTTTCACAAAATTGAAAGAGTCTGAGGCAATGAATGTAAATGGAATATGAGGTTGGAGGAGATTACTTACGTTTTTGGCCAAGCTGTAGTTATAGGTGCCTATGGAGGAAACCGATAGTGGGGAATGGAGGAGTGGAATGTGGCGCTCGTGGTTCGTGCATCTTAGAGATTTCAGGATATCTATAATGTTGCTCGGCGCTAAGCCTGACTTTTGATCACCAGCGAAACTTGAAGTAAATTAGTCAAGTTTACCATTGGCAAACACTTAATTAGATCATTTCCTGTAGACAGGCATGATATGCTTGAATCTTGCTCCATGCACGATGCAATTATTTTCTCACAAACTGAAGGGGATAAATATTTTATAAATATTTTATGGAAAAAAAATGAAGTGTTTCGCTTATCGCTATAAACTTGATTTTAGGTTTTCCGTTTGAATCCTTCTGTAATTTAATTTGCCGGTTAAACTGAAAAAGGCTTCTTTCTCATCAGGCCTTTAAAAACTTGAAGTTTTCATCAGACCCCATGGTTTTGAGATAATGACGATTACGGCTGCTTGTTTCGTCGTCAAGACTTTAACTAATTAAAACACAAAATTCATCTTAAACACCAACAAAAAGTACTGTAGAAAAAAGATAAATGTACTAGTACATGGTTTATACCCTCCATTCCAGTCAGCGTCGGTAAGTGTTGGACCGAGACGAAGATCAGTACTTAGCTCCACGGTACCTGGCGACTACAACGTAGGGTGTTTCTACCCAGCTAACTTTTTGCTTCCCCGGTCACTTTCCATTGTGACTGCCAGCAAAAAACAGCGTTTTTCATTGACATGTTTGTTTAAAGAAGAAAAAATATATTTTATAGATAAAACATTATTACCTTAACAAAACAAATCGGAAGGTACAGGTAATCGATCTCGCATAAAAAGATGTTCAACCTCGTCCCAGGGTTTCCCACCATTTAGTTTATTATGATACACAAGATACACAACTAAGAAAAAAACCCATGGAAAAATAAGCCAACCCGGTGGCGCTTTCTTCGAGAACCCGGTGAATAGATTCCTTTGGATCTGTTACAGAGGGGTGTTCATGATTTGCCGGCAAAAAAACTGACGCAACAAAATAATATGAAGCCGGCAAGTGCTCACTAGCCTTAATACTAAACTAGAAACGCCAAAATTGCTTTATCTGCAACAAGAAGACGAAGACGGGGTCTTGAATGATGATGTTTCAGTAAAATGGCTGGTATTGTTACATCTTGATTGAGTAAACAATAGAATTAACAACTTTTAAAATTTTACTCGCAGAATTGTCCACCTATAAACATCATTGAGACTGGCGAAACGCGAATTCAACAACAACAACATACGCTTTATTTGCATGACTATAATTTAGTTACAGTATTGCAAAAGTTTTAACATAAAGTTTCAATTTAGCTAATAATACCAGTGCCGGATCCAGACCTTGAGATAAGGGGGGGGCGGTTATAGAGACTCTTTGATAAGGGGGGAGGGGGGGCGATCTCCAAAAAAAATTTTTTTTTCGGCCCTTCGGGCCTCAGTTTGGTCTAAAAATAAGGGGGGCGGCCCCACAGGCTCATCCCCTGGATCTGCCACTGAATACCAGCAAAGATAAACCAACAACCGTCGTCATGAAAGAAATTCTCAAATTCTCTCTTTCAGAGGGAAGATCGCGCCCTCGTAAGTCAACAGGTGAGGAGAGTCTCACTGGTCCCCCAGGCCCTCCCGGTCCTCCAGGGCCGAGGGGGGAGAAAGGGTACCGGGGACGAAAAGGGAAGAAAGGAGACAGAGGCTTTATAGGATCACCAGGAAAAAGTGGGCCAGTAGGAGCAAAAGGCGATGCTGGACTGAAAGGGCAAAAAGGAGGCCCAGGGCCCGCTGGCATACCGGGAGCAAAAGGAGATAGGGGCATTATGGGACCATCAGGAGAGAGTGGAAAGCAAGGTATCATGGGACAAGTAGGGCCCAAAGGCGATGCTGGTCCTAAAGGCCAAAAAGGAGATTTAGGGCCCCCTGGCATGCCGGGAGCCAAAGGAGAGCCTAGTCAACCGAAGACCGTTGTAGTTTCAAGTAAGTGATGATATAAAACTTTCATTGTCGGCACTCTCTTAAAGATAGCTATAACTCATTCAGGCTCCCTGTGCACTTAAGAAACAGGAAAAAATGAAGATTTTAACTTCTTGCTTCCTAAGAAATCAACTGAAGCTTTTTCAGACTCAGAAAACCCAATTTTAATTTGGATCAATTGGATCTTAGTCTGCTCCAGGCGTTCAGATAGTGGAGTGTGGCGCGTTTCCTGCTCTGCACTTATCTTTTCAATGTCACCACTATCTGAACGCCTGAAGAAGGCTAGGTCGGATCAGGATTTTTATTATTCTTATTGGAGGACAGATCGCCCCTTTACGAATTAACAATATTTTAACTCTTTCTTGGTTAAACGTGTTTTTCAGGTCCCCTAGGCCCACCAGGTCCACCTGGGCCGAGGGGAGAGAAGGGTGACCGGGGACAAAAAGGGAAGAGAGGATCACGTGGGAAAAGAGGCGACAGAGGTATTATGGGATCACCAGGAAATAGAGGGGCTACGGGGAAGAAAGGCGAAACTGGACTCAAGGGGCAAAGAGGAAACCCAGGGCCCACTGGCATGCCGGGAGACAAAGGAGATATAGGCGTTAATGGAACACCTGGAAAGAACGGCAAGCAAGGTATCATGGGGCCAATAGGGCCAAAAGGCGATGCTGGAGAAAAGGGGCAAAAGGGAGATGCAGGGTCCGCAGGAAAACCAGGAGCCAAAGGAGCTAGAGGTGTTAACGGAACACCGGGAAAGAACGGCAAGCAAGGCATCATGGGGCCAATAGGGCCAAAAGGCGATGCTGGAGAAAAAGGGCAAAAGGGAGATGCAGGGTTCGCTGGAATACCAGGAGCCAAAGGAGCTAGAGGTGTTAACGGAACACCGGGAAAGAATGGCAAGCAAGGCGTCATGGGGCCAATAGGGCCAAAAGGTGATGCTGGACACAAGGGACAAAAGGGAGACACAGGGCCCACTGGCATGACGGGAGTCAAGGGAGATAGAGGTATTAATGGGACACCCGGAAAGAGTGGCAAGCAAGGCATCATGGGGCCTAAAGGGCCAAAAGGCGAAGTTGGATTCAAAGGGCAAAGGGGACAAAAAGGAGAGCCAGGTCAAAGCAGCAGCCGAAGTAAGTGTTAAAATCAGACTATTAATGCTGACTTTGCATGTTCCTTCTGGGGTGATCTTGCAGCTCTCGAATAACCCCACGGGATTGGTTTGCAACCGGTTGAGAAAACAATAAACAAACATGGAACCTAGCCCGAAAACAAAAGAGCTGAGACCCGTATAAGGGGTCCAATTAAATTAGAGGTTCTGAAGAGCTGCAAAGCTACTGTGTACTGTGTCAATTAAGGTAATTCTCTTGTTCTGCACTGTGCATCACCTTCTTCCCCTAACCTGGTTCTAAGTCTGACCTAAACAACTATCGGCCTACAACTGTTATTCCTACCGTGGCCAAAATTTTCGAAAATATTATCTATGACCAGCTATATCACTATCTGAATGAAATGCTTTATTAAACAGCGGCCAGTCTAGTTTCCGCTCATTACGCAGCACTCTTACTGCCTTGTTAGAGACAAACGACAGCTGGTGTGTAAATATTAATAGAGGTCTTCTTAATGGTGAAATCTTTGTTGATTTGAAGAAGGCTTTTGACTCCAATGACCAAGATGTAATTCTAAAAAAACGTGCCAAGTACGGCGTTGATCAAGAGGCCCTGGAATGGTTTAAATCTTACCTAGTAACTAATCGTATGCAAAGGTGTGAGGTAAACAATCATCTATCCAGCGCGAGCCCTCTAATTGTGGCGTACCTCAAGGGTCAATAATCGGCCCTCTTCTTTTCTTGATCTATATAAATGATCTTCCAAATTGTTTGAATGCAGGCTCTCCCAGAATCTATACCGACGATACTAATGTTACCTTTTCTGCAGCTACTATACCTGGTCTTGAGTGCTAAATCAATAGTGACCTGAAATATATTGATTGTTGGCTCAAGGCTAATAATAATAGTCTCAATGTCGCCAAAACAGAGTTTATGGTTATTAGCTCGAGGCAGAAACTACAGTCCTTAAACATTCATAAAGACGGCATCCCAATAAACCAAAGCAATAAAAGCAAATCTCTCGAGCTTCTCATTGATGAAAGTGTCTCGTGGAAGGCCCACATTCATGAAATCTCTAAAAAAAAGTATCCTCTGGTGTCGGTGCTCTTAAGCGGGTCAGGCCATTTGTTTCAATGCACACTGCAATTAAAATATACAAAGGTCTTATCGAGCCACACTTCGATTATTGCAGCGCTGTATGGGATGGCGTGACCCAACAGCTCAGTGAGAAACTTCAAAAACCTCAAAATCGTGCTATCAGAGTTATCACTAAATCTAGCTATGACACGAATTCCAGATATCTTCTTAACTCGCTTGGTTGGGATAATTTATCGGTCAGAAGGGCTAAACAAAAGGCTAATTTAATTTACAAGTTCATTAATTATCTCGCCCCAGCTTATCTCTGAAATTTGCTTGCCCCAACAACACCGAATTACTAATTTCGCAACGCCAAGAAAAAAAATAACGCTCCCAGAACCAAGAACTGATTACCTGAAGCGTAGCTTTAGTTACAGTGGCGCACTTCTATGGAAAAATCTTCCTGACGAAATACGTACATCAAATTCCTTAGGTCTCGCTAAGAGAAGTTCCCATAGATGGTTTTCTGATCAGTACTCCCACACGGCAAATAATAAAACAGTTTTGAGAATTTTTAGTTAATTTTCTGTCTGAATGAAGTTTTTAACCGGGTATAAGTTATCATTCATTCATTCACCTGCTCACATGGTGACATCAAAGGCATCGGCAATAATTGCCAGCCGCCTGAGGAGGAGTAACAAAGACCTGACTTTTGTAGTCAGAGAAAAAACTCCTTCTAGTTTAAAAAGCTGTTGTTCTTAAAACTCGCCCTAGTCCCTTTGTGTAGAATAATTATTTCAGGCCGACATTGCCCTTTTGTGGCTTGTTGCAACGACACGGAAACGGTGAGACCCCTTTAATTTTATTGGTAAAATTTACTCGTGATGGGTAATCAAAAAATAATATTGTAGCGAAAAAATCTGGATAGTAGAAATTGGATGAATTATTCAAGAAGTATATAAATGACATGAATATCTAACTGCATTTGGAGAAACAGAAGAGTATGAGGTGATGATGACGTTAGTAGCGTTTTAATTTAGTTTTTTTTAGTCAATCTGAAAAATTTACTGAAAGATAATAGCTCAGACCAACAAACAAGCTCGAGATTTCAGTTATATTCATATTTTTTGCTTTATAACAAAACTTTTTGATGGTTTTAGAACATTTCGCGCCAAACTTAGTAAAAACCCACTCAGAATAACGGCAAGTAGGGCGAAAGTAAGCACGGTGACCCTATCTTTCTATAACATTCTTTTAATGTCGTGCATTTAAGCTCCAACCTCCCCCATCCTAAAACCTAGAATGCAAGGGTAAATTTCACTGTGGTTATAGTAAAGAATTCTATATTACATCATGTTAACTGGGAACATTTTCCTTTTTTGCCTGTGAAATATTAAAATTTCATACTCTGCTTCATGTCAAATAACGTAGATTTGTCCTTTTTCAGAAACATCTATTACTAACCTACAATTAAGCTTTTCTTTGTTTCATCCTTATGGATCCTTATTGCCAACATTTATGAGACAAACGCGGTTTAGTTTGGTTTTGTTTTTCATGATTTATCTGATTCTTTAAAAGAAAAGTGACAATATTTTCTGTAAAAATTATGGCTGTTTTAAGCGAAGTGCAAAGAGAATAATTTTAAACCTTACTGCTATTCCTTATCTTATTTGTCCACAGGTAGACCATCCTCTCGTCGTGGCTCATGGTCAGGAGGTTGGTGTGGCCGTTGGCCGTTGATGTGATTAAAATTATTTCAAACAGAAATTAAGCGAAACGTCTTTTTCAAGACCATTTATAACTAACTACTGGAGGGAACAGTGGGGCAAAGAGGGAAACGCACATCTAGCACTTGGGATTGTATGGGAATTTCACCAAAAGTTATTATCAAATTAATATCATAGGTGACGAATTACTCCTTAACTTTGGCGCGAAATTTAAGCAATAATTTGTAATTTCACATGTGAAATTACAAAATTGCCATGGCAACCTTCCCTACGTCTCAGTGTCAAGACGGCGACTAAGTTTCAAAATGTCATGAATGAAGATGCCAGGCATAAAAAGACGCTTAACTTTAGAAAACCGGACCACACGAAAGAGAACATCAAGAAGGATTCTAACAGGTATTTTGTAGAAAAATTTTGAACTTAAGCTAAATTTAAGCTCTAAATGTTCGACACAGGGGAGTTCCGGAAAGGTCTACAAACGTTTCTTCAGTGTTGTCAAAAGAGAGTAATCAGAAATGTATGATATTATATCTTGGTGTATCGCCATAACCATATTCTGCCGGATTTTTTTCTTTGAGGAAGTCGCGCGCGGACTTGATGGCATTTCAAACAATCGATTAAAATTTGCAGACGAACAAGGAATTAGATTTCTGTTTAAAAACAACCTCTATAAACAACTAAATTAAGTGAAATTCACATATCCCAACCAACACCCAATAATTTCCCCTCTGTCCCGTATTTTTTTCTTGCTAACTTACAATTAAGCTTTCTTTGTTAATTCGGTCCTTATGAATCCGTTTTGTTTATATCGTGCCAACATTTAAGAGACAAACTCGGTTTGTTTTGGTTTAGTTTTGTCTTGAGTTTTCTGAGTGCAAAAGGTTGAGTGACATCATTTCCTGTAAAAACTATGGATGTTCAGTGGTACCCAATGGATCTGTTCCTCAAAATATCTGTTTTTCAGGCAAAGTTTTGATGGCTGGGACATTTGGAATAATTAATATGTCCTTGGAAGGAAAGTGTTGCTGGGAAAAAGGCAATTCACGGTGTCTGAGGGAAATTTGGTGTCTTGAATAGCTGGTATGTGCTATTTGTTGGAAACCTCTTCCCCCATCTGAAGGGCTGAATTTTTCCCTATGACTGTACACCCAAACTGGCCAGTAATGTCTGGACATACCTGTGCTGGGAAACTTCCCAGTACGTCAGATTGCAGGTTGTAGGTGCACCTTGCTGGCTGGGAACTCTTACATCAGTCTTGCTGGGAGTGAGAAACAGATAAATTGCTAAAAATGCTAAAAATGGCTTCAGAAAGCTTTATTCATGCTTTGTTGTTGTTTTTAGGTCTTTTTCTCAAAAATTCCCGTTGGGTGTCCCTGGATGTTTAAAGCGAAACGCTAACTAAAGAGAAAGTTAAACCTTACTGCCATTTCTTATTTGTACACAGGCGGAGGATCCTCTAGTGATGTGGCGACAACCGTGGCAACTGGGCATAGGTTCCCATGGCAAGGTTGGTGTGGCCGTTCCTGTTACTGTACTTGTATCAATAAAAGATTAAGCAAAACGTTACCTGAGGAGTGTTTTATGCTTTCTCCGTCTAAGCTGTTTAAGACTTTATTATCTCCCGAAATAAAAAAAAATCGGAAGTAAAAAAAACGTACCATGTGGAGAAGTTAATTGGGTCTTATAATGGGGCAGTGGCTTTCACGGTTAAAGATTTTAACTGTTTTGCAAACTAACAGTTAACGGCTAATAAAAGGCTTGGCCTTTAAACGGTAATCACACTTCCAATAATTGACAGCATAGTGAGATATCTTTCTTTAAGGGCGGTGTCTAAATGTGTAAAATATCCTTGTTGTTCAAATACTACTCTGCCTTACCACAGTAAACGTACATTTTCAGTTGATAGACAGAGTCTTTATAATTTCAGGATCCTATGGTTGATCACCTGCTTGTTAAAATTGGTCACACTCAGAGAGGCCGTACAATGTTTACTGTGAGATGCGCACTGCTGGTGGCGATGGAGGATGCACTGTGTGGCAGAAAAGGATACATGGCTTAGTTGACTTCTACTTTTGTTAGTAATTGTTAGTAATTGAGTTTCAATTAGGCGAACATTCTTTGCAATTTTTGTCGCTCTCTGACTCTCTCTGGAGGCTCTGACGCTGTCTTGACCTATGCGCATGGATTTTGGAGTAACAGTGATTTTTCTTATGACGCCATAGACTGGAAAGAAAACAACTTTTACAAACACAAGTCGAACTAAATATCTCTGACACTGAAGAATATATGTCTGCTATTGTCCAGGCAGAGGGAGGAGGGAGGGGGGGGGGGGAGGCGTTGGGAGTTATCCAACCTGACTAGACCGTTTTCAAATAATCTAGAAATGTACAAATCTTGTTACTTCTCAGTTGTAATCTTTATAGTATAAGCTCAATATCTCATAGGAACAGATATCTGAAATTGTCTAAAACAGTCTTTACAGACTGCGCCATACAACAACGAAAAATTTCATAAAAAGAAGTGCAAGATAATGAAACTGAAGATCGACTTTAGTTAGTAGTTTTACTTGTTACTTTCTTTCACGATCAAAATTATTTTCTTCATTACTTTTTAGGCGTCATTTAGATTTGAAACTGGGCTCTAGCATAGTAACTCGAAACAGTCAAAATTGAACGGTTGAAAAAGATAAACTCTGCTTAGCAGTCATCAAGCTGTGGTGGTTCACACGCTGATCACGTAATCACTATCAGTGACTACAGTCTAACCTCTCCTTGGTGTCTGTATTAATGTTTGACTGTATTTTGAAAAAAAAAATTATCAAAAAAACGGGACATTTTGCTTTATTCGTCCATTTCTTAGACGAATAGACAGTTTTGTGGACAACATTTTTTGTCCAAATTATTTGAATTTCTTTTAATTTTAAAATCGTTATACTTTAAATTTTCATTAACACTTTAAAGTTAACGTTGAGAGAGAGTGTGAATGTTGTTTTCTTTTCCTCAGTTTAGGACTGGTCATGACGGGTGATGATAATTCACAGACTTTCACAAAGCAAATAATAAGGTTAAGTGGAAACAAGAGAGAATGATAATTCTCTGTTTGTGCAAATTATGAGATGAGGGTATTTACCTCAATACCGTTAAAAAAGCACAAGACACAACATTATACAATCTCAGAAAACTGCAAACAACTGTCTACTAAGATGTTCCATTATGAGCATAGGAGAGGCCCACTGGAGATGTTACATGTATTGCGAAGCGGCGGTCATGGGGAAAATAAGAGACTTGTTTAGGATATGCTTTAGAAAACAAAGATACTATGAAGTTCTCAAACATAAAAATACCTTATCTCGCGTCCATGCTTTAAAGTCCATGTTGTGTTACTTGCGGTCTGTGCACTTTAACTCAGTTCATAAATTTGAAATCACACTAGAACAATACAAGTTAAGTTTTGTTTTCCGCAACAGCTATTTTATTCGACTAGCTAAATTCGACGTCTGAAAGTCGCTACAGTCGTGCTGAAGTCGAGCCAGCTTAGGACGGCAGTAGCACGACAGTCGTTTGAAACAGGCTTTACCTTCACCATTTAGGGAGATTTTTTGCGAGTTTTGGCCCCCCCGGCTTTCCCTGCAATTCATGCACACGTCATTGGCTTTCCCCAGGGGTAGGATCCCAGGCAAACCAGGGGGTTTTTAGTTGGGCGGAGAAAAGTTGATAATTTTCCCCGTGGGGGAAGTTTACAACACAAAGTCACTTGGTTTAAGTACTTCTCAATGATACTTTTCTGATGTCTTTCTCGTATAGCCCCATAGCTAAAAAGAGACTCATTTGACTGACGGGACTTTTTTGATATATCAGTGTCTTTAGTAAAATTCTTTTTCCACAACAGGAACAGAAACAGTACTTTTGCATGTAATATCCAGACTATTGAATAACGCGCGTGCCAAAATTTGCTATGCTGGGTACGTTTTCTTGCTACTGACTCGGTGATTTGTTAAGTGAAATTACCAGATTTCACGAAGGATTAGTCTGAAATTCAGACTATCTAAAACCTAACAAGGATTCCGAGGTGAAAATGATGAAAATTGCGTCATCTTCTCTAAAAGTGCTCCGGGGGGGGAAGGGGGTGGATCAAGAGAAGTTTAGGTAGAGATGTGCCACCGACATTTTAAAGATCTTCAAACTCTGACCCTGAGTTAAGACAAAAATTATTCCTTTCGCTGTCTACCTGATTTCTTGAACCTCATTCATTTAATTTCGTTTCGCACACAGAGTAAAGTATTTTTGAAACTAACATCACGGAGATCTCTTTTATAATACATGACCTGTAGCATTCGTCATTCGTCATTCTCTCTTGCATTCGTGTAGACCGCGAGTTGCCAACTTTCACACTCATCAGTTTGTAGGAGAGAACCCTCAGAACGAGGCTGCAGTTTATAGCTTTATGGATGGTCCAAAAAAACCCTGTTGAAGTCGCTAAATAGTGAAATTGCATACCCTGGTTAAGACTCAGGCGCGGAAAAAATTAAATGTCCCAATCAAACCTTCGGGCCAACGTAAGCTCCAAGATCGTGAAATGTAAACAAAGCGAAAACCGTGTACACAAAGGGGAATATCTCACCAAAGTTATTTCTAGCCAACCAAAACGTTAAGAAATGATGGAAATTTCGGCATCTGAATAGCTATTGCTATCTTAAAAGCTAAAAAGGCGAAATTGTCCGTCGAAAAATATAAAAAGAAAAAAAATCTTTCAGTGTCCATTTTTTCCTCGTAATGCAAGGCTCTGGGTTGTCATTTCAACATTCCGCTGATTTGTAAACCGGTTGCGGCCTAAAGTTCGTTCCTTAAAGAGACGTGTACCTTGGTGTCACGTTAGGCTGCGTGCAAACGGACGCAACAACTCCCAACATTGTTGCGCCAGCAATGCTGGGAGTTGTTGCATGCGTGTTGGCAGTGCTGTGCAAAAGGATGCAACAGCTCCCAACAATGTTGGGACCTGCAGTGCATCGTGGGAAGGATACAACCCATAAGTCTTTGTAAACCATTGGCCCCAACAATGTTGGAAGGGCGGTGCAAACGGATCCCACATTGTTGCGCTACGCTTCGGCGATCACGGAACAAAAGAAATGTTCTGAGTTGTTGGCTGAAAAGTTTGACCGTTTTCATACTTTGCGCAACAACACGCAACAACATCCAACAACATGCAACAGGGTGTGCAAACGGACACAACATGTAACATCCAACAATGTTGAACGGTAATTTGAATAAATTACCTTGGAGCCCCTTCACGCAATCTTCCACAGGGTACACGTGACACACCGCTATCACCTTTAGCTCTGAAGGCGTGTGGACAAAATGTTGTGCAGTTTTTCGACTCTTGTTGACGGCAATTTTTGCATTCGGTGTTAGTGAGGAATATTCTTGTCAATCCGAATTTATTCCTCCTTTGAAATTGCGATCGAGGTGTCTGAATGTCCTGGAAGTACATGGCATAACCGCATCAAGGAAGATCCATCGTTGGGCAAATAAAAAAAGTAACTTCTATTATCTCGCGCTAGTAGATGACAATTGGTTTAATTTTGTCTTTGTTTAAGTTTCATTGAATAAGAAGATCGCTTGTGTTGAACAGACTAGGGCGGGGCTTGGCACGTGGCCTAAAGCCCACCCACACTCGGGAAATGCGCTGAAGAAGATATATATATCTTGTAGCGGGTCATACTCACACCACGTCCAATTTATACTTTCTATGTTTATGTACAAGATTTTCACCCGGGCGGTTTTGAGTAAATGGTAAGCACCCCAGTACTCATATTTGATATCCTACGTTTACTAGTAGTCCAGCCAAAATTTCTCCCTGATATGAAAAAAATATTCCAAACAACCACAACATCCCAGTTACAGCTGCCAGACAAATGTCAAAACGGATTGGACTTTGCCTTCAACATTATAACAAGGAAGTGAAAGGCTAAAATAGCGCCAGCTTCTTCTCTATTACATTCGTAGTATCAGGTAACGGGCCCACGTACCGAATCCTCCGCTTATTCAAACTCTCATGGAAATGACTGCTCAAAAGCAACGCTTTCCCTCTATTGCCACTACCATTTCTGCATTAGGTATTATTTTGTACTGCGTTGGGTTTTTACGAGTCGAATTGGAACTGAAGAATCAGAGGGAGAGATTGCAGGCGCTTGAAAACATCCCGGAGACAGAGCCGCCATTAAGCGATCAAAACATCGCCAAGTTCATCAAGGTTGCTCGTGGTATGTATTTTTCAACGTGTTCTAATACTGTTTTTAATTTCATGCCGTCTGAAATCGTTCTTCCCATCCTTTTAAGAACATTTCAGGGAACGCAATTGCGCTCAACATTATCACCAGCGATGGAGTAAATCCGTCAAAGAATATGACAGATATGACTTCTTGTGTTTGTCAAAGGCAAACAAATTAAGTAGGTCATTCTCTGGGTCTCCAAACACGGTGCATTTATTTTCGCACAAATAAAGGGGAAGAACTTTTTGTTGCCTTAACTAAACCAGCATTTCAAAGAGAAGACATCTCAAAGCCAACGCTTCTCTTCCTTTTCTACCAAACCATCTCAACATTAGGTATCGTTTTATATTGCGCTGGGTTTCAAAGAGAGTTGAACAATCACGAGCAGAGATTTAACCAGATGCCCTTCAACCGTCGCGGAAAATATTATTTGTTTCCACATGAAGCCACAAAATCAAAAATAAAGCATCGATCCTCCTGAGTTTTTAATTTCATGAAGATTAGAGTGGCTGAAAACTTATAATTTTACAAATTTTCCTTTCGAAAGGTTTCTTCGTTTTTTGCTAGAGTACGCTTGAATTTCCAAACTTTTGCGTGACACGGTATTTACGTGGCGGCCAATGCAAGACAGCTCACTGTCAGCTGTCATGTAGGTTGAAAAGGTGACTTATTTTGGAGGATTTTGCGATCCGCACAGTAATTGTATTATAGGTAAGTATTGTTTTGATGTTTATGAGTCCGTAACAGATGTTTTTGTTGCGTTCGCGTCCGCCATATTAGTGCCCCTCAGAGGGACAAAGCTCTATAAATTTTAGACTGTTCACAGTCCCCTAGTTTTTCGTGAGATCGTTTAGATATACCGCGTCTTACACAGGGTCCAGAGGAGATGTGTTTGTCGTTAGACCATCAAAACCCGTCGAAAACCTCTGAAAAAATGGGTTATTTTGATCGCGTTACGGTTTCGTTACACATTCTATAGACCGCAAACCAAGAGACTGAGGGCTCGCAAGATCGGCTTACAGTATAAAATAGGGAAAGGGAGGAAACAAATTTGGGGCCGATTTTCGAATCCCTGAAACTCAAATGGAATTGAATGAAATTGCCTGATTTTACTAATCTGATCTAGAATTCTTATGTATTTGCCAAATACTGTAGGAAAACGGCATAAGAAAGCGTTCAAATTCATTTTCGGCGACCGAAATTTACCGCTTCTAGAGAGCGCTTTCATTCGGTGTGCACCGCAACACATGGTGACGGAAATGACGTAGTAAAGTAAATGTGTTCAAGATCGGAGCAATAAAAGGGAAGCCTACACGACTTTTGCCTCATGCCAAAATGCTGCTCGTTCCAATAAAGTTTTTTTCCTCTGCTGGGTAGATTATGCTCTGGAAGGTTCTACGGCAAATGTGATTTTAGAGGGGATTTTAGCCGCATGTTTCACACTGAGAGGTCATGACACATATCGATTTACTGTGGTTATTGTTTCTGGTCGGCAGGATTTGCCCTCTGATGCAAGCGCATTTTCTTTGACCTCTTTTGAAGCGTAAAGCTTTTTATTACGGCTGAACAAGGGTTCCAGTTTTCTGCAAAATGCCTTCAGGATCTGAAAAACTAAGCGATTTTCTTTAGTCCGTGAATGTAATGTTTTTCTTCAATGCCGTATCACGCTGGGCCCAGCTTGTTGGTTTTGTTTGGAGAATGTTAAATTATTACGGATAGTGATTTACGGGTCGTGTGTACTCTTGCAATAAAAAGTGACACTGACTAGAGCGGGCGTACAAGGCAACTGTAATATCATCACGACTGTGCCATTCTTCGGTGGTCCAACTATATTACCTCTTGCGTCTTTGGCTGTGCGTTTTGCGACGACTGGGAAGTCTTCGCACAAGCAAAACCTGCTTAAGACATCGAAGACTGTTGAAACGTACAACAAATGTCCAGTCTTGAAAGATCTTCACTTCAATTAAAACTCTGTTGTTTTCGCATAGATCTCTGAGATCTTTAAAACCCTCTCCGCAGCTGATGTTTTGATTCTCGAATTAGCAGCGGTCTGTTGCTTTTGCGTTTCCGGTCTCATTTCGACTTCCGTCACCGAGTGCTGCGGTTCACATAGAACGAAGTCACGTGGTACAAGTTTCCTCCCTTGTCCTTTCTTTTACTCGGCACTTCGTGCCTCGGTCGCCCTCCGGGCGACGTGCCGTGCGCCAGCGAGGATATGGCTTGCGGTTATTGATTTTCAAAAGTCGATCTGGGTCAGATAAGAAGCGAAGAAATCGTTTACAGTAGATTTATAAAGATCCCATTGGGCTAATTAATCGTGCTAAGCGACAGGTATAGACATTTTTCAAGGTAAGTAATTCATTTATTCACAAGAAACTCCTCTGGACCCTGTGCGTCTTACCGTCACGGCTACCTTTTGATTTTTAAATGTACCGAGGGGGTGGACGTCGGAGATTATAGCAAAACCGTCCCCTCCCCCTAAGTAGTTTTGACACTCATCGCAAGCTAAATTTATAGTTGTCAGTGGTTGCAAGGATGGAGTTTTTATCTATCGCTATGTAGTTATTTTCGTAGCACGATTTGGATAAGAAAAAGAAGTTATTTTGCATCAAAACAAGGTTTACCCGTATACCGTAAAATTCCGAAAATAAGCCCCGGGGCTTATACTTTTCAAAGGCCCTTTTTGAGGGGCTTATTTTTGGAGGGGCTTATATTCGGAGGGGCTTCTCTACGGACGGAAATTTGCGTTTCAAAATCGATTGGGCTAGCCTTATAGCTGGAAGTAAATTTACCGTTTTTGCTTTGTTTTACTTTGTATTTGAGGGCAATTTCCAAGTACAAGCCCCCGGGGGGCTTATATTTGGAGGGGCGATTTAACGGAGGGTTTTTTGCGTTACGAGTTTGGGGGGCTTATATTTGGAGGGGCTTATTTTCGGAATTTTACGGTAACTTAAATTGGAATGTTAACGGAAACAAGTAATGGAGAACATTGGCATAATGCTCTCTGATTAACCTGAACAGGAACTATATGTATAAAGATACGTCATATCTTGGTAGTAAGTTGCCACAGGTAACTTTTTCAAAGAGAAATAAACATTGTAGTTTTAGGTTAATGGAACAAAACAAAACAAAACATCCGCTTGCTTTATCCAGGGTCGAACCTAGGGTTACAAAGTTCGATAAAGTTCCAATGTTTTAATCCAAGATGAAAGTTTAACATTCCAAGATGCTCTTCATACGGTTAAAAATCAATTGCAGTGTGTTTCCAAGGTCTCAAAGTTAACATAGTTCTAATGATTATCCCTGATTCCAAGGTATAATAAGTTTACTAAGGTCCTGATCCGTGTCCCATCCAGAAGTCTAATCCATGCCGAAAACGAGTCGTCAATCGACGAGGACAATATTTTCGCGATTTCACCGCCAATCGTCAAGGGTACGAGTTGAAATTTAACCTCCCGTCGTCAAGGTGTTTTCGATAAGAAAAGATAAAAACTGAACTCTAGCTGTGCTCGGCAAAAACTGGCGAACTCCGAATCCCGGGGGGGGTACTCCCATACATTACCTATACGGGTATGTGCCGCTCAACGGGGTCGTGATTTTGAAGCTCCTGATTTAGAACAGGGTATCCATTTCAGAGGCGTTTTCTAGAACGGGGTATAAAAAATTGTGGATCACGGGATTATCTTCTGCTTAAAATTGTTGCTGATTATGAAGAAGCATTTATTTTATATGTATAAGTCGAACAAATAAAGAAATATTTTTTTTAAAAAACAGGGCTATTTCAATTTACAAACTTTCTAGAACGGAATATAAAAAATTCGCCCATTTGTAGAACGGGGTTTCAGTTTTAGGGCGAATTCTGGAACCGGGTATAAAAAATTTGGCCCATTTCTAGAACAGGGTATCAATTTTAGGGGAATTTTTTTTTAGAACGGGGTGCCAATCTGGAGTCCCGGGCGGCACATACCCACCCAAAAAATACCCGAGTGCCCCCTCCCCCTCCCGGGCTCCGAATAGTAAAATCTATCGGAAATCATGGACCGCAACCAGACGCTACTAAAACCTTATGAAAAAGCTAGACCTAAACAAAAAAGAATCATGAAGGGAAGAAATAATTCGGCTTAGGACGCCTTTCGTGACTTGCCAGTATCCCGAAGGATTTCGCTGGTCAACAAGCCATCCTAAACCACGAGTGGGAAAACTCAAGGACGACAAATTTGGCAAGGAACGTTCTGATTTCAACGTTCTTCAGAGGAAGCAAATCGATTAAAAATCGATAAAGGTTTTGTATAATCCCATTGGTCGACTTGGAAGAAGAAATAATCGATAAAGATTTTACGCAATCCTATTGGCTGGCTTTGCAATTGTGGGTACAAACGAACCGGATTTTTACCGTGGGAGTGCCACAAGCATCCCACGGAATTAATACCGTCTTCCTTTCATACAACAGTAGCCTAATCTCACATAAGGCGAGAAATGTTTTATTGCTTCAACTGTACAACGCTATATTTCCCGGGGGGGTTATTTGGGTTAATTTCTGCTGGGTATGTGCCGCTGGCCTCTCCATCTTTGAGTCACTTTGGAAAAAAGTAATTTTCGCAATCCCAACTTTCTGTTTGTGCATCTACCTTATAAAGCCTTTTAACTTCACGTAACTTGGTCATCCTGAAATGAACAGACACATTTTTTCCAACCTAATGTGGTGTAAATCTTTCTATTTTTAAATCGCTACATACCTGAATTTTCTGACCACACTGAATTCTGAAAATGTGCGACCCCAGTCTAGTAACTGTTATAAAAATGTAACCCCATAACAGTCAATCCAGTCGTGAAAATCCAGCGGCACATCCCCATTAGCCCAACACTAGAAATACCCCCCCCCCCCACCTTAGTAAGTAAGTAAAGACTTTATTTTATGAGGGTTAGCACCAAATAGCCGGAGCTAATAAACTTGTGGCCCTCTAAATAATAAATAAATAAATAATAAATAATAAATGAGTATACATAACTAAGCTATAAAAAATACAAGGTAAAAACCGAAGAAAACAGATACTATAGAATCTACTAAACTATTTAAAAGATAAAATGTAGCATTATAATCATGTCACAATTCATCAAGTAACGTAAATAGAAAAATGATCAAGATTCTGCTGTTGTTTCATTCCTTCCACAATGCTTTTTTTTAAAGAGTCCACTGAATCCCTTTGCCTTACAGGCAAAGATAAGCTGTTCCATGCTTTGCAAGTTGTGACGGTAAAAGTTCTTCCTCCTTCTGTTTCGCGATTATACCTCGGAGAGGTTAGGTTAAAATTACAGTATCTGGTTTGTCTACTATGGATGTTACGGTTTAATTTAAGTAGATTGTTTAGATAAACAGGGACGTCACCTTGTAATCGCTTATAAGCAATGATACATTTAGATATTAAAGAGTCTTTATAAAAAGGCAACCATTTCAGCCGATTAAACAAGGGAACTGATGGAACTAGAGGGTGGGCATTTAGGATCACTCTAGCTGCTCGTTTTTGGAGCTTCAGGACCCGCCCAAGGCTTTCCTTATCACAATTAGTCGAGAGGACACTTGCATAATTAATCACTGGCCTGATCAAAGCATTGTAATAAAGTAATCTTTGTTTAAGGGGCAGATAATTCAAACAGTCGTAATATGCTCAGAGAAAGATAGCTCTTCATCAATCTCAAGACCTAGTAGCTTAACGTTCATAACTTTAGTTAACAAACTGCCATTGCAAGTAATCTCAGGGTTATTGTTTATTTTGGTCGAGAGTCGCTTTCTCTTCACGGTGAGGACTTTGGTCTTTTTCTTGTTGAGTGGAAGCCTGTTGGCCAATGCCCAGTTAAAAACTTTTGATACAGATGTATTAAGAGATTCTTGCAGTCTTCCCATGCTGCCACAATCTGCTGACGATGTGATTGTAGTACAGTAAAACCCCGCTACTAAGAACCCGCATTTTCCCAAGTCAGCCTAAACATGTTCTTACATAAATAGTAATTAGCACTTATTTAGGCTACTTTAGGTTCTTAAATAGGTTCTTATTTTCTGAAGAAAAAGATACATTGAAGCTAAGAGCATTTAGTAGTATGTACCCAGGTTCTTAGTCGTGGGTTTTTACTGTATCGTCTGCATAAAGATCGATTTCAGAGGAGCTGACATGAAGTGGCAGGTCATTAATAAAAACTGTGAAAAACAAGGGGCCGAGTATACTGCCCTGAGGAGCCCCATGTTTCATAAGCGCCATGTCTGAGACGCAACCACCCAAATAGACAAGCTGGTGTCTGTCCACCAAATAAGACTGGAACCACTTCATTGTTTCGCCAGCAACGCCATACTCTTTCAGATTATCCAGAAGAAGACCATGATCTACCATGTCGAAGGCTTCACAGTAGTCTACCAGCACCATTCCACTAACTCTATTCTTATCTAGATTGAAAAGCAATTCGTCAATTATCTGTATGAGAGCGGTGTCTGTACTGTGATTCTTCCGAAAACCAGACTGGCGAGGATAAATCAGATTGTTTTCAGTTAGATAACTGTATAAGGAATCATGCACATGTCTCTCGATAACTTTAGAAAGGACAGGTAGCACAGATATTGGTTGAAAATTCTGAACGTCACGTAAGTCACCATTCTTGTACAGAGGAGAAACTTTAGCTGTTTTCCAACGACTTGGAAATTATCCACTGGAAAAGGAAAGTTAATCTCGCAACAACAGGTGCTATAACAGGTGCGGCTATACGTAACAGCTGAGAAATTATTTTATCAATGCTAGCATCTTTGCGCAGACTTAACTTTTGTAACATAGTAAGCGCCTGCGCACTTAAGTGATGGATGGAAAGACATAAGATGTATCAGGACTTTTTCTGGATCTGACAAAGTCTTGCAGCTTTGTGGGGTCTGATGGAACTTGCGGTAATGTAGATCTTAACCTGCTGCTATACTGGAAAACGAGCGTTAAAATGTTGCGCTATTAGCTTTTTGTCATCTATAACAGCTTCCCCGATATTAATACTGTTAATATCGCGCCTGTTCTTTCCTGAGCCAGTCAGTGTTCTTATTGTCTTCCATATTTCTCTTGACCTGCCTTTATTTTCCTCGAAGGCATTGCAGAAAAATTGTCTTTTTGCGCTCCTAATCATCTCAACTGCTTTTTTTCTTGCCGATCCAGTAATTTGACCAATCATCAGCATTATTGGAACGCCTTGCGGGTTTTTGGCAATTATCTCTCAAGTGTAGCTGTTTCAAGACAGAGCTAGTCATCCAAGGAGCTTGGACAGCGCGCTTTACACGCTTTTCACGCCAGGGGCAATTTTCATCAAGTACGCTATTGAAAAGTGACTCCCAAGAGTCCCTTGCTATATTTTGAACAATCGACTGCAAATTGTGATGATTAGAGTGGTTTAGTATTTTGAAATTTGTCCTATTATACTACTACGTGAGAAATTTCTGCAATTTGATTGGCTTAGAGTAGTGGCATTTCAGCTTAATTTGAAATACCTACGTGTGAAAATTACAAACCTCTTGAGGCGAAGTATGTTTTGAAATAGTATAGGTAATAGCATGACTTGTACGTGATATTTAACATAAATACCACTCGTGATATTTCAAAATTGTCTCAAATTTCACTCGCCTAATGGCTCGTGAAATTACGTATAACAATTTTGAAATATCACTCGTGGTATTTATGCCAAATATCACTACAAATCATGCTATTACCTATACTATTTCAAAACATACTTCGCCTCAGTTTTGATCACGAAACGTTGTTTTAAAATAAAAGAAAGCGTAATAGAACGGAACAGCGTAATCGAGCAAGACCAAGAACTGAATGGTATAGGTAATCGCAATAAGGGTGCCTATCACTGTCGAGTCGATCTGCCACAGGCTTCCCACTTAGTGATAGCCCCGAGTTAGCTGGAAGGATCAATTTTTGTATACTTGATTATGAATTGTTGAAACGTTGTTTACTTCCTCCTTTCTGTCTTTTCCCTACTAGGTTTTTTTCTTTATCGTGTTGGTACACTTGAATATGGGTAATTTTACAGCAATATGACCATAGCCACCTACCGAGCTGAAGGTTGCAGTAGAGAGTCAGTCCAACAAGTCTATGCAAAAGGAAAACAAAGCAGCAGAAAAATAGCGCTAGCTGGGTTAAGGAGACAAAAACATTGAAGTGTCACCAATGTATACCTTATTTTAGGAAATTAACACTTCATGAAATTAACACTAATTTCAAAAATTCGCGTTTATTTAAGTCGCTTTAATTTTTGTAAACGTTAAATTCGCGCATTAATTAAGTGGCGCGTTAATTTCCTCGACCTTTATTATTTTGACCTCAAATACTCGATACACTTTCGACATTCTTTACACCAAAGGGAAGGGCTTTTTTAAAGGTGGGGATCAGTCAGTGTCATTGAAACTTTGAAGAACCGAACAACTAAACAAAGTTATGATTTTCTTGTTGTATTATCTTTTAAAAGTCTTTCACTTATACAGGATTGATAGAGGGAGGCGTCAAGCAAATTTGGCTAATAACACCAGGAAAGATATGATGAATAAAATAAACAAACTACTAACAGAAGGGAGACTACAGCTCTGACAATCAAAGGGTGACTCTTGTTAGTCAGGTCCCCCAGGCCCTCCCGGGCTACCTGGTGCGAGAGGAGAAAAGGGAGACCGGGCACCAAATTTCCAGCAGGGGAGCATCACCCTAGGCAAGCTTGTATCGGTCCCTAGAAAGGTCACCCCAGGAATCCCGGGATGGATTTGATTTGTACAGTTGCCAGGGGCCTGTTTCTCGAAAGTCCCGGTAACTTTTCGGGCCCGAAATCAAATATTCAAATCGAAATGTAAAGAATAAGAGCACGGGTCCTGCCTAGCAAACTACTCCATTTTGTTTCATTAACTGATAGTTTTATCATGTTAGATGCAAAACTATTAAAACCCCTACCTTGCATGTAAACAACAACAGCTTTACAGGCCCGTTAATAATCGGGGCTTTCGAGAAACGGGCCCCAGGCCTCATTTGCTTGGCCGCGCGTTGATCTGGCCCGGCCACTTGGAAGCAACGACTTTCGGCCTTTTGGATTATATCTTTCGAGTTTGTCAAAATCTGCTGGATTAGTTTTTCTAGCTGAGAAAGCTTCATTGGTTTCTATATCTGATGCTATCCTATTTTCTACGATCATAGCATGTTTATTTCAGTTACCGTTGGAGCTCGAATTTCGTGGAAAGGTTGTTTTGAAAAGGAAGCATGGCCGCCGAGATGCAATGTCGTGCCTCCTACCTTGTGTATTATATTGTGAATTTGAGCAAGTTATATTATCGCAAAAATTCGTTTGAGCACTAGGATTAAGGACAGCAACATCTAACTGAAGAGTAAGTTTCAGTGACCTTTATTAAGTATTTCTTACAAATTTTAGGATCGGATTTTTACCCCATACAAACACTGTAATTTTACTGGAACTGGACTGTGGTACTATCACAGAGCCTGGGTTACCTGTGTCCATATTATACTGATTTTACCCCTCACATTTATAGTTCGTAATCAAAACACAGTTTAGGAAAATACGGTCGTGCAAGTCATGTACAATTGTATGTTTCGGGTTAAATCTATTACAGGCATTTAGTTTACACCTCCATAAATAGGTATGTATGGCAAGAAACTTTACTCGAGCTGTGAACTTTCAAAAGTTTATGGAAACTCGCTTATGCTGAAATCAATATATCGTGCTTGCTGAATGGGCGAAGACAGGTAATTGAGGAGAGGCATAACAAATGAAAACAAGATCATGCACAATTTTAAAGATAAAGCTAGCAAGATACAGATACAAACAAAAGCAAAACCTCTGGGCCACATTGACAACAACTTTAAGCTCTACTCAGTCACCAAACCTTATCATTATAGTTGCTATTTGTTGGTCTTTGTGAAGCTCCCGGCTCTCCTGGTGAAACTTTGAACTTGTGTGCGAAATTCTCAGAGTTCCTATTTCTCCGCGTCTTCTTTATCCTTATCCGAAATTTAGAAGTGGCGTGTGTTAACCCTCGGACGTGCAAGCAAAGTCATACCCCCACCGTGGTACAAGGGAGGGGGGGTTGATGGAAGCCCTCCCCTGTGATGTCACCAAACATCTTGGATTTTAAAAACCTCGAGAATTAATAAGTACACAAATAAAAAAAAAGTACTTTGCATCATTTTATCCACAAGCTTTACTTTTATTTCTGAAAGAAACTGATAAAACATGCATTTTCTCTCAAAAATGGTTGGACCACCTGCTACTTATGAGGTCATGTTTCGTAACTATAGTAACTGACCATCACTAAACTTGTCTCAAAATGCTCGCGAGGGATAAACTAACAGCTACTGAAAAAATGTAGGTGTTGATGTTTTATCGTCTAGGAAATCGTCCGGGGTTAAATTGAATAGAAGAAAATATTATCGTCTTCAAATAGCCTCCTTTGCAGCCGGCTGCGAGACTAGTTTTTAAGCTGCAAGGATGCTTTGCATGCTGAACTGAGAACACAACAAGCTAGGAGTCCATACTAGATTATCACAACGAGATGAACGAGACTCCTGCAACACAAGTGCGGTTCAGACCAATTTCAATCATTTTCCATTTCATCTATAATATCACGAACTGTCTCACCACATAAGGGACAGAGAAGGGGGCGGGAGAGGTACAAAAAATATTCGTGCAAGAGAAAATCGTATGAAACAAGTTTTGAGAAGATCTTTTCTCGGTCCCAGACTTCGTGTCTCCACCCCACAGAAGACGAAATGACGTGTTTCTGTATTTTGAAAACTCAACGGAAATATAAAGTTGCTTATGTCCGTCACGTTCCCGCCATACAAAAACATGGCTATCTAGTTTTCAATGGACACGGCTTTTTTTCCATCATGTTTCCGTCACATTTCCGTAAACATGATCTTCACAGTAGAATGAAAAACCTAAGCAGCTGATAAAGGACCTGACCTGGAATAGAACCCTTACCTTTGCGATGACCGAGCGCAATGCTCTATTCATTGAGCTAATCAATCCAACTAGAGAGCAAGCCATTGTAAAATAAACTTTTTGCTCGCATCAAGGTCATTAAAAAACCAAGAAGCATCTTATAAATCTAGAAAAGACTAGCGCAAAAAAAGGAATGGAAGGAACAAGTTCTCACTAACCTTTTTACCAAACGCCTAATTAGTACTTAATCGTCAGCTAATAGAACAGATCAGAAGTCGGGTCTTGAATTAAAAAAGATGGATGGTTAGGTGTTTTTGTAGTATCTGTTTGCTGATGATTACACCTTTTAGGAGGGGACCATAAAACAAAAAAACAATTTGTCATTATTTTTTGCAGAATTTTACACCATCAAACATTATCGAACCAGACGACACGCTAATTTAGCTAACAATACCAGCGAAGCTAAAACAGTAGCCGTCATGATCAAAGAAATGCACAAACTTTTATCAGAGGGGAGACTAGGCCTTTGCAAATCGACGAATTACGCGTGTCAGGCAGGTCCCCCAGGACCTCCCGGTCCACCAGGACCGAGAGGAGAGACGGGAGACCGGGGAAGAAAAGGCAAGAAGGGAACACGAGGAAACAAAGGAGATAGAGGCCTTATGGGATCACCAGGAAAAAGTGGACCTGTTGGGCCTAAAGGCGATACTGGACTCAAGGGACAAACGGGATACAAAGGGCCGGCTGGTACGCCGGGAACCAAAGGAGACAAAGGCATTATAGGATCACCAGGAAAGAGCATCATGGGACCTGTAGGACCTAAGGGTAATGCTGGACCCAAAGGGCAAAAAGGAGACACAGGACCCACCGGCGTGTCAGGAGTCAAAGGAGATAGAGGTATGATAGGATCACCAGGAAAGAGCGGCAGAAAAGGCATCAGGGGACTTATAGGGCCAAAAGGCGATATTGGAGTCAAGGGGCAAAAAGGAGAAAAAGGGTCTGCTGGTATGCCTGGAGCTAAAGGAAAGTCTGGTCAAACTACCAACGTTGTTATACCTTGGGGTAAGTGACTATACTTTAAGTATAGATTTTTTTTCTGACAAAACACTTTGTGCCATCATCCGTCAACCAAACACTCCATGCTTCTAATGCCATGCCAAAGAATTCCAGTGCATGTGTCTGGTGTTAGATGAATGTCCAAAGATACATAGAGAGAAGAAAGAGTAGAAAGATTTGATCATTTTAGAAAAATTATTTAGACTTCTGACGCGATGTCTCGAACTTCAGGCCCTCCTCGCACTTGCGTTCACTCGTCTGAAAAACGCAAGAAAATTACGCCGGTTCTACTTCCGAGTCAGAAAAGGACGTAAATAGATATTTAGAAACGTACGTTAAAGGGAACCTCCACTTCAACAAAAAGATAACTTTAAATCACAGGAAATAACTGTTACAGTCAAGTCAATCTAAAATATTTTTAAAGAAAGCGTTTGTATCCGAAAGAAATAACTTTTAGATTCGCCTATTTTTGTTTTCAAACTTTGCGGGCGTCGCCATCTTGAATAATTGTGAAGTGTTACGGTTGCCTTATTGTTATTAAACAAAAGCTCTTTGTGTCAGAACAATAGAGCAACCGTAACACGTCACAATTATTCAAGATGGCGGCGCCCGCGAAATTTGAAAGTGAAAATAAGCGATTTTAAAATTCACTTTTCCTGATATATACACTTTTTTTAAGGACAAATTTCGAACAATTTTGTTTATCAACATAATTTTATTCGATTTAAACTTATTCTGTAGTAAGAGTGGAGGTTCCCTTTAACAGGTAAGAGACCTTCTTTTCAGCATATACCGAACCGGAATGAATGGCTCAGCTCAAAATTAAGTCTTAAATTTTCGGCCGTACTTTCCGAAAATGGCCTTTCTAATATCCTTTTGTCCGGGTTTCAAGTTGCCTTGTTGTTAGGCGACCCCAGGAAAACTACACACTACACCGTAATTTTTAGGGAGTTATTATAACTCCAAAAATGGAGTAAAAATTTTAGGTACAGGATAACCCCTTTTTTGGGGTTATTTTAACTCCTAATTTAACTCCGAATTTGGGGTCATTTTTACTCCCGAAAAAGAGTTCTTTTTACTCCCAGTCTGGAGTTAAAATTACTCCGAAATGAGGTTACTTGTACCCCTTACATGGGTTGTTTTTACTCTTTTTGGAGTTAATTTAACTCTGAAAATGGAGTAAAAATTTTAGGTACAGGATAACTCCTTTTTGGGGGTTATTTTAACTCGTCAATATCTGGGGTCACTTTTACTCCTGAAAAAGAGTTCTTTAAACTCCTTTTTGGAGTTAAAGTAACTCCACGAAAAATAACTCCACTGTAAGGAGTTAAATTAGCCCCACTAGAGGAGTTATTATAACTCCCTGAAAATTACAGTGTATGTATAAAAGATTTCAGCCGAAATGTTTCCGATTTTTGCTAAGCCATCGCAAGAAATCGATCGCTGTCAGTGTGGGTAGAAAAATGCTTTTTCCCTGTAATGTGTGGAAGAATCTACTGTCGAGAAAAAAAAATCGAGAGGAGCGGAATTAGGTCCAACTTAAACAGTTTCTCGACCATTTACAAAGATAATATTCTATCAAGCGATCATGTCCGAAATGGGAGCACGAGGATTTCTTGAAATATATTAAGTTAATTAGGTAAATAACTCATTCTTCTTTTGGCTTATATCAATCAGTCATTCTAGTAAGCTTTGTTTGGATCATCTTTTAAAAATTCAGTTTAGTTCGTTGTCTGGTAATATAAGCTTTGGATGCTTGTGTTTAAACTTTCATCTTCCTTTTGTGAATTACCTTTGATTAAAATCTGATCATGACCGGTCCAGTGCAGAAGAAGCCAGCATCATCTTAAAAGTTTCTATTTTGTTTGTTTTCCATGACTCTTAGTGTTTCAGTCTTCTGAAGAGATAACGTAGCGTAATTTTCTTTTAAGGAACTCTTCATTTTTTTTTTTGTTTGTTTGTTTGTTTTGTTTTTTTGTACTTGTTGTTTCTGGCCAGTGAAGTTAAACTAGTAGCTTCCAGTGGAAAGTCCGGGTGGAAAGTGAAGTGCTGCGAGTAAAGCATGACATTTCAAATAATTTGCATCAGTTGTAGTTTATTTCGATTCTTGATATTTGACATTAACCGTGTCAAATACCGTGCATGTAACGCCACACGACAAGAAGGCGATCGATAAAAACTGAAACTTGAACCAAAATGAGTGTTTATATCAAGCTACATTGTATAAAAGTCCGTGAGAATATATCAGCGTATTATCTGAAACCTGTCAACGATAAAGTTAAGAACAGGCGAGCGTTGGAGTGAGTGAAAGAGTTAATTTCCAATCGAGTTCAATGTTAAACTGGTTCATAAAGCTTCGCTACCGTATCCGACAAATCATTTTCAATTGTTCCTTCCGTCGTGTATAAAACGTTTTACTACCAAGGAAAACAAATCTTGTCACACTTTCTTTAAAAACTCTCAATAACTAAAGCAATTTATCAATTAAATGAACACAACAAAGCCTGGCTGAATACAAATTTATTTTATACCGTAGAGTTCCAGGAATCGCTTCAAATATTCTGAGAGACGTATCGCTTCAATTCACGGGAATTTTGTACCTTCACTTTCATTCATACTCTTCGCTTGCAAAAACGTGGCTTTCTATACGAAACAGGATTTCTCCCGGGCTTAAAGTCTACCACATAACACTTTATTTGTGTTCCGAGTGTGCGAACGAAAGAGCGTCGATTTCGAAGGCCGTGCTTGAAATCGAGGCAAATGCGGTGATATACATACATACATACATACATACATACATACATACATACATACATACATACATACATACATACATACATACATACATACATACATACATACATACATACATACATACATACATACATACATACATACATCAGCGACGACAACTGAAACTTGCTTTGGACTGGCAACAAACTTTAAGGAACATTGCAGAAATCATCAGTCCTCCTTTCCACGCTCGAACTGAAGAAATGAGACGGAACTCTAGATCTCAAAATATATTTGTACTTTACAAGACTCTAAGAAACCTTTCCAGAAAAAATGGCAAGTTTTAAAGAAATGTAAACCATATAGTACCCTGCGACCAGTGGTTTCTCCAGGCCGGACGCTACGCTTCGATGGGAAAGAGTCGAAACCACTGCGAGCAAACATTTGCTTTTCCATCGAGCATGCGCGTCCACGTGATGACTACGAATATCCAACGACAAGACGGCAACGAGAACTTCAACAAAACAATAGGTTTAATAAGCAAAACAACAACTTTGCACGTGCATCACGCTTTTATTTTTGCATTTCTTTGCCGTTTTTGCACGACTACGACGTGAAGATGCCTAATTTTGCGTTTTATGGATAACGCAAACAAGCAACGACGAAATTTATTCTTCTTTTTGCTGTTGAACTTGGATATGGTCCCTTGGAATTCAACTCCATTTGGGTTCGCCTACATTTGACAAAGTAACTGAGTAGATAGGAATAAATAATCCAAAGAAATACTGAATATCCACAGCAGGCTCGCGTTAGGGCAGCAATTGTAAGCGTAAGCAAATGCGCGAGAGCCTAAACTTTCTTTCAAACAGAATTTACATGTTTAAAGTTAATTTATTCGTCCATAGCGCTGGACGGCGGTTCGATCAAAGAAGCAGACGAATGCTCGCAGTGGTTTCTCTCCCTTCGTAGCGTAGCGTCCGACCTGGAGAAACCACTGCTTGCAGGATAACCATATAGCAACATTAGCAAAAAATGTAACTTTGTCTTTATGAAAAGTTTATCATCATTTGTAAAAAAGAGCTTTGTAGCCTAAACAGGCGAAACGAACTAGCGAGCTCATGCCCCCCACAGCAACAGATATGTACTTCAGAACACGTAACTAAGCCGACACAATCCATCTGTCACCTATGACAAATACACCGTGCAGCGCATTCGCATTTCTTGAACAACTGCTCTTATAAACAACCGGAATGTAGATGTCGCGCACAGTAATTGTAAAAAAAAAACTACTTAAGATTTCCTTTCGGTACATAAGACAAGTGCACTTTATGTGTACTGTAGTCTAATTAAAAGCAAAGGCAGAGTAACAGGCTCAGAGTACTAGGTCAATAAAATTGACATGTCGCAGGCATTTTAATATTCTAAATTTCTAACAAGTGACCGTATTAACAGAGTGAAATTATAGAGATTCTACTGTTTGGGATTTTAAAATGTGGCCGTTGGCCGTATTAAGAGGGTCTCAATGGGGTGGTGGCTTTTACGGTTATCGGCTAAAATTTTGGCTTTTTTACGGCTATCGGTTAATTTTTTCAGTTACGGTAAACAAAAAAGTTAAAAATTAATTTGTTTTGTTTTAAAGAGCTACATATTAATAAAACTCTATTTTTGTATCTTTAAAGCAAAATAAAGATCTTAGGATCATCTTGGAATGAATTTAGAGAAAATATAAGGGCTGTCTTTCCCCAGAAACAAAGCAAACTGTCCTTAACCCATTCGCTCCTGGAGATTTTGCCGAAAAACGCGTTTTGGAGCTAGTCGAGTGGTTTTCTGGTCACTGTCGTGCTATAAAGAGCTAAAACTTACCACAAACCGGTTTACAGGTCGTACACTTAGCGGCCTTCTGATCCAGGTGCAAAATATCAGCTTGCGAAGTTCGGGCATGCGCAGAAAGCAAAATTTCGAGTTTAAAAGTGACACAGCAGTCTTGACTTTTACTTTTCGCTTTTTCTCCTCCCTTCTTTTTTCGCTTTTCTTGCCTCATTTTTTTTTTCTCTTGCTGGGCATTTAGTAGGCTTCATTTTGGTGGGAAGAGTTTTTAGGAAAGCTTTTAGGATCTTAGGATTAGGTGAAAGGAAAGGTAGGTGGGTAATGGAACAAGATTTTCATGGAGATTTTCAGGTCCTTGTCACGTGGTTTTTTGCTTCTTTCTCCGGTGTCCTTGACTGAATTGTGCTCATTCTGGTATGGTTTGAAAGATCTCTTCACTCTGCACACGTGTGCGCAGAAAGTTGTCCTTGACCGTTAAAACTGATGACGTCACAAAGGGTAGAAAGGACCTGGATCCGCACGGGCGGTTACGGGCGGTTCAGGGGCGAATGGGTTAATAACGAGCTGGTTTTTTTACGATAGCGGATGACTGTAATGACTGTCTGCCGTTGCCTTGTAACTAGGCCTCATTATTCTGCGCGGCCAATGCGTTTCGGGTCTCGTGGTCCGAGCGAGTTTTTTCTCGGATACGCCAGCGAAATGCTTTGGCCGGTACTTTCTGTTCAGCTGGCTTTCACCAACTGAGTCAAGCAACAGATCTAGCTGCTGCTGGGTCGATAAAGAATAAGTTTCTGTTTTGCAGCTGATTTTTGCGAGGCTTTACAAATTTCAGACCGAACTTCCTGGCTTGCTCGTCAAGGCCAAGAAGGTCAATAATGTTTCTCTTGAAACGTTTTTCTTGAAATGTATGGCCGTTTTGCCGGGCCGAAAGAATGTGGCCGTAATAACGAGGTCACCGTGTTAACGAGGTGGCCATAAGGCGGGGTTCCTCTGTATAACAATATATATTCTAGTTGCTACACAACATAGATTGAACCCAACTGTAACATCTTCTTGACGATGAAACGCGGAGATAAACATTTAATTATTATTCTTATAGCCAGTCATTCTCCACTTTTAGGCCAAGACTGTTTATCACTGCTAAAATCAGGCCATAATCAAAGTGGAGTGTACTCTGTGAACCCAGACGGTAAAGGATCCTTCAATGTTTACTGTGACATGCGCACTGATGGTGGAGGGTGGACCGTATTCCAGAGAAGACAAGATGGCTCGGTGGACTTCTTTCGCGGATGGACCGATTACAAATCAGGCTTTGGTCAGCTGACAGCTGAGTTCTGGTTAGGAAACGACAAGATCCACAGGCTAACGGCCGCTAGACCCAGCTCTCTCCGAGTGGAGCTAGAAGATTGGAGCGGAGTGAGAGCATATGCCAAATATGGCAAGTTTAACATTAGTGATGAGCGGGCGAAGTATCGACTTGAAGTGGGTTCATATTCAGGGACGGCGGGGAACTCTTTGCTCGGTTCATATAACCTTAATAACATGGCGTTTACCACAAAGGACAGAGACAATGACCGATGGAGTGGTAACTGTGCTGTGTTATACACTGGTGCCTGGTGGTACAACGATTGCCACAACTCCAATTTAAATGGGAAATACCTGGGTCAAAAAAATGAGTTTAAAGGAGTCGTGTGGAATGAGTTCAGAATGCAACTTTCACTCAAATATAGTGAAATGAAGCTAAGGCCGTCATCTTAAAAAGAATACGCATGTTCATTTTCAATCACAATTTTAAGTGTCATTGTCTGAGAAAGTGTTCCAGGGGCCAAAAGTTGTGGTCAACCGATTTGGCTGAAACTTGGCACAGAAGTTTGGTGTGATGAGACATTTCAAAAGCCACTTTGGCTCACTTCTCTGAGTTTAATTTTGGAGTTACAGGGGGGGTCTCATTTTTTGCCCTTTGGGAACCAAAAATCCAGCCTTCCAGGGGGCATTTTGAAAGTGTGATAAGACCCCACTGGTAAATTGTGCTGCCAAATGAATTTGACCATGAACTCTACTATAATAGAGCTTTTAGTTCATGCATGTAACTTTGTCCTCAAGGTATTGTACAGAGAGGAGCCTGGGGCTAGAGTTTGGCCAAAATTGATGTTAAAATTACCACCCAAAATTGCCATTTTTCAAAATTTCACTATATTCACCTGCCTTCTTGCATAACTTCCAAACCTATACCACTGTTTACTTTAGTCACCCAGTTATCAAAATCAGTTGAGAAAAATTTGGCTTATCATGATTTATTGAATTTTGAACAAACACTTCATGCCCCTCTAAGGCGATGCAAAATGGAATTTTTAGCCTAATTCAGGCCATAAACAAACCAAATTGTTGACAAGAAGCCCTTATTCTGTATTTGGTAAGTGAAAATGAATTGTCAAATCCAAATCACTTTCGTTGTTTAGAAATAACACCGATTCTTACTTTAAAATTTTAAAAAGTTCGCTCGAAATAAGCAAAACAGGCCTCTGATTGGCGCAACAAACACATAATTTAGCAAAACAAAGGTGATTTTATTCTTTGAAAGCCTGGTAACCACCATAGAACACAAATGATGATGTTCTGATGTACATATAACAATCTCTTTACAAGATGCTTAAGTTTTTCTTTGATTTATAGTCAGTTTCACGTCATATTTCCAAGCATTACTCCAAGCATGGAAAGTCTCCGTATTTTGTCAGGCTTGTAATAGCCTGAATAGTTGTTTTAAATACAAATCAGCAAAGGAGCACCCTTACCAAATCCAACACTGTTTTGAATGTATTTTTAAGCTATTTTTGAAAACTGTTTTTAACCTGTTTTGTGAAATAGGTTTTAAATAGGGTAAAAAGTGTATGTTTAATGTATTTTTCGACTGCTTTTAAAGGTGTTTTAACCTGTTTAAAACGCTATGAAAAAATAATTTTTAAAGTATTTTAAAATGCTTTTAAAATATATAAAAAATTCCAGGGCTTTTGCAAGGCTCAAAACAGGTCAAAAACAGTTTTTAAATATCTTATAAATCGGAATAAAAACAGGATAAAAACAGTTTCAAAAATATATTTTAATTTACTATACTATTTTAAAACTATTTTTAACGGCAATTTTAAACGTATTTTGAAAAAAAACAGGTTTAAAATAGGTACAAAAATATATTTTTGATATATTTTTCGACTGATTTTAAAGGTGTTTTAACCTGTTTAAAACGCTATTAAAATGTTATGCTTCAAAATATATTTTAACAGCTGTTTAATCGGTTTCGAAATTTAGTAAAATACTCGTATTTGCAAATACAATAAAAATACTTTGAAAACAGTATTAAAATACCACAGAAGAAGAAAAGCAATAGCACACATATATTATGAATTAAATACATCAAAAATAGGATGCAAAAATGCAAAAACAGTATAAAATTGTAAGAACATAGCCTTAGAGTTGTCTGAAAACAGTATAAAAATCGGTCGAAAGAGCATAAAAATAGTACAAAAACAGGATGGAAATACCATTTAAATTCATGAAATAAAATGAATACAAAACCGTCGAAAATTACCCTGAAAAAGCAAGATCTACCTCGGCGAAATTTCTCCACACAGTCCTAGGCTAGGACTTCAAGAGAATTATCTCTTAGCCGATTACTTTACGTTGATTTCCCTAAGAATTCTCGGGAAATTCTTATGGAATTTTTCAGAAATGCTCAAATCAATCTTTAGCCTGTGTACAGACCCCTTCCCTCAATAAAACTCGGAGGGGAGGGGTGGGGGGGTATGTACACATGTTATCAACCTTTGGCTTCAAAAGGGTATAACGTTACTGACGTTACCGGTAAATATTAATCTACATGCATGTAACTTACATTGTTTATTATATTCACGGCTTTACTCAAATATCGTCAGAAGCTTAATGCAGGTTACGCCTGAACATTAATTAGTGGCTGATAAAGAACAGCATACGAATAAATTTACGCGAGAATGAAAGAGGCCGGTGACGTGACATCAAGTGACTGAGATCATTTATACAAAACAGCGAGTCTCTGCAAGGAATCCTGTAAAAAGTAAAATTGCCGTACGGGCGCGACTATATAAATGTTTACTACCCTTCATTTGTTTCTCATATGGCGTATATCTAAGCGTCTTAGTAACATTGTATATTTAATACTTACAATTAGACTCTTGGACTCTTCTCCTGAACCAGAACCTTCCAAAGTACATAACAGTCGCTGAGGAGTCATAACCATTTTTGATTCGTGATAAAAGCAACATCTACGTGTTCCGACAATCCGCTGAGTTGGAGTGTACTTTTGTAAGATCGTAACAAACAGTAAAATCAAGCGCATTTAAGCTCACAGCAACCGCCCGGGAGCAACCGCCGGTTCAATAATTTGAAATGAGCAAAGGACAAAGGACGGTTTGCTTATCACGTGCATTTGTCACATCACCGCGGCGCGAAGTCGTGATTTCAGTCGCGCGTGACATCTCAAAAATAATATGCCATGCATGTGCGGAATAGTCTATGAGAGAAAGATAACCATATGTCGGAGTTTATTCAGATCTGAGCGTTGTTTCTTAGTGCAATATATACGAGGTGAGATCTTAGCTTGGATAGTTTGTTTTAATTATTATGAAATTTCAAGGACTTATTTTAGACAAATCTCAATTGACCGCGTGCATCCGGTTCTCGGCCCGCGGCTTCGGCTGTTTGCGAAAAATTTCTACATGAAAATTGAAATGTGATTTTAAGAATTTTCTTTTAAAAAAACTTATGGAATGTCCCGTAGCTGCATTAATTGAATCACGGCTAAAATCTAGGCGGAGATTTTCGCAGAGAGCTTGCAGGTAATGAACATTGAGGAACGGATTGATCCTTTATCGGCACACTGTCACAGTTACGTGTTGTCAGTCAAAGCTAAAATCTATTCCTAATTTTCTTCTCTTTTTTCAATTTCTTTTTGATTTGCTGGGAGATTTAATTTTTGGCTCAGTCTCGAGCTTTATTGAGAGAAGAATCCGGTCCACAATATGACAGCTTGTTTTGTGTCATTTATGAGTTCGTGACACGATGAAGGCTTAAAAATTAACTTTGTGCAATTGTTACTTTTATAGTCTGAGTATAAGTATCCCAAAATACATTACAATATTGCACCTCAATAATAATAAGTAATAAGTACCCTATTTTAAAGTATTTAAAATAAGGTCAGCATTTGATGTCTTTCAGCAGACTTTAAATATTTTATGTACAATCTGTTTTTATAGTCTGAGTGTTGTGTGCCCAAAATACAATTCAAATAGACCTCAAAACAGTGTTTAAGTACCCTATTTAAAAGTATTTGAAATGCGGTCAGTAGTTAAGGACTTAAAACATATTTCAAATAGTCTATTTGAACTCTGTTTGTAACTTTGTGAGTGGATGCGTCTCAAAATACATTTTCGATACAACTCAAAACAGTGTTAAAGTACCCTATTTAAAAGTATTTAAGATACGGTCAGCATTTAGGCTCTCAAAACATATTTTAAATAGTCTATTTGAATTATGTTTGTAACTTTGTGAGTGGATGCGCCTCAAAATACATTGTAGATGCAACTCAAAACAGTGTTAAAGCACCCTATTTAAAAGTATTTAAAAACAGTCGCATTTAAGCCCTTAAAACATATTTCAAATAGTCTATTTGAACTCTGTTTGTAACAGTGTTAGTGGTTCTATGCCCAAAATACATTTGAAATACCCTATTTTAATCATATTTATTAAACAAAATACATTGTAAATTGATGAGAGAGGTTTTCCTTTTGATGAAATATAATTTAACTACACTTAAGATATATTCCAAACAGGGGCGAAAATTTAAATTTTTTTGTCAAATAGGATTAAAATACAGGAAAATAGTATTCAAATACTGAAAATACATTTTAAACACTTTAAAATCAGTTTCAAAATACATATGGTTTGGTAAGGGCATGACCATACATACGTAGATTACACAGACATATACGAGCTTCCAAATTCTAGAAAGCGATCTGTTTCAGGATAATTTTTCGATGGCACTTTATTCCTTTGGAGGGGTAAATGACCAGTGCAATGTCACGTCATGGGCTGTGCAAGAAACAGGAATGCTTCCTTTGTTGTCTTGCGGTAGTGACATGACTGCATGGTTAAAGCACAAATAGAAGGGTTCAGGTGTGTCCGGGAAAGAAGAGGTAGAACTGGTGATGCCAAAGCTACAGGTGATTCAAAATATCAGTTATCACTTTCTAGAATTTCGAACACACCTGATGAAAAGCAGAAAAAATTCCCGCGAAATGGGAGAAGGATTGGACGGGAACTCGGTCCAGTCCCCACACTCTTCAAGTCCAAAATGGCGGGCCAGCTAACTTGATGTAATTACAAGTGCATCATCTCAATGCAAGGCTTTGTTCGGGTTATTTTCTTCATAAAAGCAAAAAAAGCTTTTTGTTATCCAGCTCTCCTAACCGTGGATGGATGGTTTCATTTTTTCAGCTCTAAAGGACTCGGAAAATCACAGTTCACCTCGATACTGCTCACTGAAGCTCGTATATGTCTGTGTAATCTACGTATGTATGGTCATGCTCCTTTGCTGATTTGTATTTAAAACAACTATTCAGGCTATTACAAGGTCAGACGAAGATTAAATGTTAACGAACCTTTTGATAAGCTAAATT